GTCCTCTGGATCAACCAGTGCTCTTAACTACTTGAGCTTTCTCTTCAGTCCCAATTTAGAAGCAAAAACAATTAACAACCAAAACACCAGTAAACAAACCCAAAAAGAATATAATCATAATCTCTATAGGTAATCTGAAATGCTAATTTCCCTTGGCCCATCAAAGCATGCGTGTGCATGCACAGGCACACATACTAAAATGCTTTCAATTTTTAGACTTCAGTCACATTCTTTTCATATTAATATCTGACTCAAGGATACCTCAATAAGTTTCTTGTTATGTTTCACTTAACCATAATATATAACTTTTCCCAAGTGCTCAGCCACTGGGCTAAATCCCCAATCCTTGTTGATAAGGCAAAATTAAATACTAAGGAAGGGCTACCTTGAAGAAATAAGAGATTAACTGCTACTTAATGACAAATGTTTCATTTTGAAACAGGGTCTTGCTACCTAATATTGAAGACCGGCCTTGAACTCTATCCTGCCTCCCAAGCACTGAGATTAGAGGCATGTGCCATAGTATCCAGCATTTAGGTAACAACTTTAAGTTAGAGTATTTAGTTTTGTCCTGTTTACTCCAACAATTTTGAGCTTATCTTCTAGACTCTTCTCAGCTCTGAAACAGAAGTTTTTGATCTATTTTATAATTCTTTCCAAATACTATATTTTTCCTCATTCCTCAAACATGACCCTTGGTTTATACCTCAGCACTCTATGCTCTCAGTACAGTGTTATTCAACACACAGCCCACTGATCGGAGAACATAAGAGAATTATCTGAAGAACTTGTAAAGGAACAAAATTCCAGACTATGCTGGTCCCAACAAATCTCAAAGTAGATAGAATGGAGGAGCAAAGAACCTATTTTATAGACATAGCAGTATCATTTGCAATTAACTGCCTACACCATTTCTCAAGATAGGATTTACAGCTTCAATCCTATCTATGGCCTCCGTGGGCAGGGTGGGGAGGGGGGAGTAGTGATGATCTTGAGAACCCTAGCCAGGACAAAGGCCTGGTTAGAATCCCTGGGTCCATATATCAGATTAGATAGAATGTAGAAAACTTAAACAAGGCAATGCATATACAGCACTCTGCAGAATGCTTAGCATGAAGTACTTGTATTTAGTAAGTAGTTGCTGTCAATAAGCTGCAACTGATGATCCATCTCCACTCCTGCCACCTCAAATGTTTGCTCTTTAGAATTTCCTATTTCATTTGACCCAATCATCATACTTCTTTTCCAGGAGTTAGTCTGTTTTGTCTTTTCCACTCAACAAGGTACTATATTCTTTTTTAAAAGATTTATTTATTTATTACATATACAGTGTTCTGCTTGAATGTATGGTTGCAGGCCAGAAGAGGGCACCAGATCTCATTACAGATGGTTGTGAGCCACCATGTAGTTGCTGGGAATTGAACTCAGGACCTCTGGAAGAGCAGTCAGTGCTCTTAACCTCTGAGCCTGAGTCATCTCTCCTTTTTTAAGCTACTATATTCTTATTCATGTGTGACTGCCTCGATCATTCCACATACTCTTTTCTTTTTTAGTTAAGCCTTTCCTACCCATCCCAGCTTCAGAAACTTATTCATATTCTTATATCCATTATCACCCACAAAAATTTTTAAAAAATCCTTAGCAATTGAACTGTTACATCTTTCCTATTATCTTAAACACTACTAAACTTTCCCCTGGTGGCTGACATCTCTTTATACCTAGTTCCTTAGTGAATAAACTGTTACTTTATTCACTATCTGATACTTTCTTAATTGTCTACCCTCAGACTCTTGGTTCCAAGTATATAGTCAATATTCACACTTTTGAAAACTTCAACTGGAAGATGAATACTACAGTCACTAGAGTTGAAGAATAGCAAGTCCTTCAAGCTAAAAACTTTTTTTTTCCTTTGCTGCCAAGCTGAACTTGTCTGAGGTTTGAAGTAATTTGTCATTCAATAAGTCCCTGTTAAGAATTTAAAACCAGGGGGCTGTTGAGAAGAGCACCTCTTCCAGAGGACCAGATTTCAATTCCCAGCGCCTACATGGCAGCTCTCAACTGTCTGTAACTCCAGTTCTAGGGATCTGGCATCCTCACACAGACACACATGCAAGCAAAAACACCAATGCACATAAAGTAAAATAAAAAAAATTTAAAAAAAGAATTTAAACTAGATCCAAGTTAATAATAAGATGCTGTGAAGCCGGATGTAGTGTCATGTGCCTGTACTGTTAGCACTTAGAGAAGCAGAGGCAGGAAGACCTTGAGTTTAGACCAGTCTGGGCTTCATAAGCAAGAAGACTGTCTCAAAAAAGCCTAAGTAAACAACAAGCTTGTAACCAACTGATTTAAGTTATGAAAATGTCAATTTATAAAATCTGGTTGTTTTGCTTATGGCAATACTTATTTTGAATACTTATTTTCAATTTTAACCATCAAGGCTAAGTTTTTAAAAATGAACTCAAATTAATTCAGAGGTGTCCTAGAACAATATGCTACATCTAGATTATTCTAAAGATACTGGAAAACCATACAAATAAATTCAAAGAGCACTTCTACATTTTAAAATCAGAACATTCCATCAATTAACTTTTAGTGAAGAATAATTTCATGAATACCATAGTTTCAACAGTGTTATACTGTGCGCCTTCCCATTTTGCATATGGTTTTATATAATACATTAAAAAATGCTGACCTGAAACTTTTCCCTCATTCTTGAGATGGAAGTCTGAGATTACAAAAAGCTAATCATGTAGAAATGCATAAGCAAAGCAACAGTCTTCCTAAATATCCAGTTATTTATAATATTTGACTACTAATTGATAGACTACTTAAAAGACTAGAAAGAGAGAAAATATAATGAAAACTGGACTCTCCAACAGGTATAAACAGTTAAGATATGCAATGAGAGCTCAATTACCAAAGCCTAAAGTAAATCACCTCAAAAGCACATTTGGGCTAAAAACACTTGTAAAAAACACACCAACAACTTGAAAAGGCCCAGTTTTCTCATTTTTGTCCTTCTCACGCTTATCAATGTTTCTATCAGATATTTAAGCTGTGTTGCTAAACCATCTATGGATCCCAAATAAACCTACGGGGGAAAGTAAGCCAGTACAGACTAGCTACTATAATTAGCAGATTCCCTAAGTCTTATGAAAGAAGTTATGAACAATTCTATTCAAAATTTCTGATCCTATCTAAAGCAAGTAATATACAAAGTGAGCTGTTCTTGCCCACATTTGATTAATGTGCACAGAGGACCCTCAGGCTACTAGAAAAACTGAACAGTGAAAATGGTTTGGGCTAAGTCAGACTTCACTGCCTGTTCATTTCCCTCAAGCTGCACTTGCTTCAATTTCATAATTCTTTGAGGGACCAGGGAAAAAAAATACAAAACCATTTTGGAGAAAATACCTGTAATTCCCAATAAAAAAAATATCCTTGAGTGTTTTGATAGCTGTAAGTCCTCTTGCACCATTAATCACAATAAAAGGTAAACTCCAAGGTTAACAGTAAACGTCAAAAGTTTAAGACACAAAGGCTCAAGTCCATAATCAACATGTTAACAGTTTATCTCCCATGTTAAAATATTTCAGATGATTTTTAAAAATATACTCAAAAATGAAATACAACATAATTATCAAGAACAAAGTTGCCAAATTTCATAAACACGTGAGGGGAAGACAGCTAATAGCAGCAGTAGTGTCTAGAGACTTCCAAGCAGAGAAACATTACCGAAGCATTAAGTGCCCTCACCCTAGGAATTATCATTTTGACCTCTAAAAAACCCTCTTACCTGTTTACAAGTTTATACGGCTGTTTACCACTGGAACACCACCTTGCAGAGTATAACCGTGGCATCCTTGGTTGATAATCACCTGTTGCCTAGCAATCATCATCCCGCATGGAGACAAGACAGCACTAGGGCTCTTCCATCCGAGGTTAAAATTCAAAACAAGCCCAAACAAGCCTGCAAGTCAAGGTGGTCTTCGTCTGCAACTAGTTAAGTTTACAACTGGCAAACAACCATGGTGTCTGAAGCCAAAGGTGCAGAACTGCTGGCTTCCTCTTGAACTCCAGCGTTGTCACTGTGCACTGAAGTATTCTGCTGCAAACAGGGAAGTTTTTTCTCCTGTACTGGAAACAGGCTTCCAAAACTCAAGAGCCCCTGTACAGGACAATGCAGGAACTAAAGGCAAATACTTTCTCCTCCTTAAGGATGCCTCCATTTTTTTCCTCACAATCTGTACTACCAACCGGAGTGACTGGGCCTGAGTGTGCGTTCGTACCTATGAAACCGTCACGATGCATGCACATCCAAGGCATGTGGAACCACAGGTCAAATAAGGCACAGATACCAAGTAACGGTTCTAATTACAAACGCTAGCTCTCAGGAACTCTTCATCCATTCAGAACTAAACCCATCACTGCATAACTCTGGTAAGAAGCCCCTGGAGATGGAGGAGCTCCTCAAATGTGTCAGGAAAGGCTTTATTAACACCATCATTAACATTTAAAAAGCAACCGGAGCATTTCTCCTTCTTTTGGCAATTTGGTGCAAATGTTAAAAGTGCAAGATAATGCAATTTCAAACTTTTCTTCAAATTAAAAAATGAAACTAAAGCCAAACGTGATGGGTGAACAAAATAAATCAAAACTTAAATTTCAGGAACTCCGGCTCTTCAAACCAGCAAAGCCCCCGACTCGTGCACTTTGGTGAGGCTTAGAGTGCTTGCCCCGGCTTCTTGCACGCCAGCAAACAGCAACCTCATCGTGTTGAGGACTGAGAAGCAAAGGATCCCCTTCACTGCAAACAAAGGGGGTCACTGTAACACTATGATCCTTCAGAATTGACACACCGTGATAGTCAAAATGAAATTGATGGTCTCCCTGCTTCTTGCTCAAGACATACAAGATCTGAGCAGCAGCAAGTACCCGCTCCGCTGCAAACAAAGGGGTCAAGGTTTGCCGTCAATTCACTTCCAGGCAGAAAAACATTTTCCTCAAAAGAAACAATTTATTTAGAATAAAACAAAAGCAGCTCAACTGTGAGCCCATGTTTGAGTGACAGCTACTTTTAAGCTGTGTGAGCCATAAAAAGGGTTTTTCTTTACTTTTCCAGAAATCTTGTGTACACAGCACAAAGCAAAGAGGTCATTTTTCCACTTAAAACACCGGCATTGGCATCACAATAGCAGATACACAATGTTAAGCTGCCATTTTAGTAAAATGCACAAAATACTAAACAGATTAGCTTTCTTCCATCAGAGGCCCATGTAAACTCCACATAAGCCACAACTTTTCTTCAAAAAGGTCCATTAGAGCTTTGAATTCCGTATCTTCATCCGCTGTTCACCAGTTTTGCTTGCGGGAGGGGGAAAAAAAGGTTATTCAGTACAAACGTTTACAGTATTAAAAATATATATATTTCCCCTATGCCATTATAGATGAACATAGTATTAACAAGACCTTCCTGGATAGTCCACTTTAACTTCAAAAAGCACCAATAATATCCACTGGCACAAACCTTGAAATGAATTTACTATATGAATACACAAATAACAAGTAGAACAATAGAATTTGATTTGTACTCTTTTAAGACTGTCATCAAGGATTTTAGAACTGGAAATATCCTTTATCCTCAAATAACTGAATAAGCACATGGCCACATGTTCAGGAAAAAGCAAATTTATGACCAACTCATAATTAACCAACATCTGCTCTAAATGTAACTTTAAAAGTGTAACAATAGACAGATGGAGTTTAGACAAACCTTCTACCCCTCTATGTCTATTTTGTAACTTATATGGAGATAGACTACCCCATAACTGCAGAAAGGGGTCGGAGCTACAGAGCCATTGACAAACCACCTTTATCTCTGTCACCAAGGGCAGTAGTGTTAAGAATGCACACACACAGTTTACTAGAACACTTCAGGACTCATACTTTTCAATTATGTTCAAATTATACACAGAAGAACTCCGCATCAACACCTGAAGTCATTCCCCACCATAAGAATATCACTCTAGCAGGGCTTACTCTGGCTTTTCTTCTCATACCTTACTCCTATTTCAAAAATCAGACTTTGTGGCAAACACAGGGGGAAAAAAAAATGCAGAAATTGCCTCCATTTTTCCCCACACAAGTCATTAAGGCCCTCTTTCTTAAAAGATCTCATAATTCTGTTACTAACAGAAGTTTTGGTAAATGGTTCTTCTATGGATACAAACTACAGTTCAAGTTGTACTGCAAAATGAGCAATTTTACTAAGAAAAAAGCTACCTTAATTTAAAAAAAAAAGAAAAAGTAGTCAGTGAATATAGTTTTAAATAAATCTGGAAATCTGACTCTGAAAAAACAACTCTTACTGCTTTGCATCAAATGATCTAGGTGAGTCAGCCACAAAGAGTGACTCTAACCTTCAAAATAATAACAAAAGCTTATGTAAGCCAGAGGATGTACATTTTAAGAGGTTAATTCTAAAAAGAAACTCATCTTCAGTTTGGTAGTGTACAAAGTACACATTAGAAATTTAGGTTTCTGTATGAAAAATTCTTTACAGGAGGAATCCCTATTACAACCAGCAAAACAATACCCCACAATTAAGTAGAACCATTTGCTAGAAGCTGAGTGATTGCTTAAGTTTCCATACACTTTGAAGCTGTGATCATTAAGTCTTATCTTATTTTTACCAGTATATTTAATACATAAATAGCATACTTAAGAAATTTTCTTTCTATTCATTTTAGTACTTTCTGGAAAGAAAAAAAAAGTTAAAGTACTAAAGTTATTAAAAAGAAAAAAAAAGGGCTGTTAAAAGAAGTATTCAGAGAGGCCAGAAGAGGGTATTAGATCCCTTGGGACTAGGTGCTGGGAACCAAACCTGGGTCCTCTGCAAGAGCAGCCAGCATGTGGTATAGACATACATGCAGGCAAAACAGACATATGCATAAAATATTTTAAAAATTTTAAAAGAATATCCAATATGGGATTCTGACCCAGCTAATGAGATCTAGAAACAGTTTTAGACTGCTTTCAATCAAATTCTGAAGGTTTAAGTGGCCAATTGACAGGTATTATGAACCTGCACAGGAGTGGGCAACACAAATAAGATGATGGCACTTTGTAGGTAAGCACCCAACTAATTTACATAATACATATATTTGGAAATGGCAGCAAGCCACTGTTTCAAAAACACTGAAGCACTACTTGATTAGATCTAATAAAATGTAGCAGTGTCAGATAAGGGTTCAAACATGGAGCAAAAATCATATTCTTCAATATGCTATTAACCAACAATGTTCCTAAAAAAGGAAAATCATCACAACACATTTCATTAATAGTAAAATTAGATGTCACAGACTTCACTCTCTAACAGCAAAATCATTTGCCCAACTATCTAACAACAACAACAAAATACTAAAAGGTGAATGGCTAGTGAAATTACTTAAACTGAAAAAAATCTATCTACCTAACTAAAAACTATACTTAAACTCCATGTGCACAGACTACACTTTCATCAGCTTCTGAGTAGACGTCTGTATCACACCACTATTGGTTTTGGAAACAAAAGACAATAAAAGTCTTAGTTGTAGATTTCAGGTATTTTTCCTACAGACACACCAAGGTCCTTTGTGCTCATAAGCCTAGTACATTCTTTTTCTCAAAAGTCTCCAAATTAAAATAAAAATTATAAATACATAGTGAAAAATGAAAGTATGATGTAGTAGGTAATGGGGCTATCAGATTGACATGAATTACACACCCATCACAATGAAAAATAAAAATTATATAACATTTCTCTGGGTTATTATTGATGCCATTTCAAATCTACCAGCTTTGATAACAAAAATAAAACATTTGGGCTCTGCAAGGCTTTGAGTAGGTCACTTTCACAAAATAGAAAAAAAAAAGACCATGATTCAAAAACACAAGTTCCTAATCATAACTAAATACCGGACCCTACCTGAAGTCCTCAGTACTTAAACTGAGAAAGAAAATCTTATTTAATAATGGTCTTAGATATCACAAGTAGCGGCAAGAGGAGCACATAAAACAAACAAAAAATACTATTGTAAATTAACCGAAGCCCTTATTAAGAACCAGATGTCATATTATCCTCAGCTTTTTATTTTGGGTGAGAGGTTTTGTGGGGGAAAGGGAGTTTTGTGAAAGTAAGTTATATTATTTTAATTACAGGCACTGGGAAAATAAAAAAAAATTTTTTCTAACACTGACACTTCAAACCTCTACAGTTAGACAGCAGTCAAAATATTAAACATTAAATTTCAAAGATATTCAAAACACTGTCAATAATGCAATGCCGCTACTCCTGTTTAAATATGAATATAAAAATTTAAGGAATTTTCTTCAAATATATCAAGGGCATTTTACAATAACCTTTTTTTAAAAAGTATAATTTAGATGTCTGATTAATGTCCACAAAGGGAAATAAAAAGGATTACATATAAGCCTGCAGACAAATCTATTACTGAAATTTCTTAAATGGATAAAAAAAAAACACCTTCATTTTTGATTTAAGTATACACAATTAGATTTGCTACACCTCTCAAAGGCAACAAAAAACACCACTGTGCACCTAACTTACCAAAAAAATTCTCATTTTAAAAGCACTTACTCATTTCTTGCAGACCATCTTAAGATGTAAATGGTTTGTAACACAAGTCTCAACTTTTACCAGTTACTGTTACAAACACAGGATACAAAACTCAAAAACTAATGATATAAATGTTAAAGCAAACTTTCTGGGAATAAACTATTTAAAGAAAAATACTCCAATACCTGATTAAAATAAATGAACTTTGCAATACCTGATCAAGGCTTCTAGTATAGGAATTATCTACATACCAACCAAACTATTTTTTCAGTACAGAAGGCTCTTTTCTCCAAATTATGATTCTAAAAATTGTGGGTTTTATCATTTTGAGGATTTTTTTTTAAACTCAAGACTGAGGAAGAAAAAAAAATCTGAAAACAAAAATAATTCCTAATTAAAGCAAATCCATCTTCTTTCTACCTTCAGGGCCCTTTCACTCAAAATAATAGCTAAACTGCCCCAATATCTATTTTAAAGAGGTTTACAAAAATATAGATATAAAAAAACCAACTAAACTAACTGAAAGAAATTTATCTGATTCTGTATCCCATTACATATCACAAAACAAGGAACCATGTCAAAGTAGTAAATACAAGTTACACATGGACTTTAGGACGCACCACGGACAATGATCATGACCAGGTAATCTTCTTCAGATTTGGCCAGTGCCTTGGCAGGGGAATCCAGGAACTGCTGAGAGAACTCACAAGGTGGGAAGGCATGAAGAACCCCCGTGTTTTCTTTGTCTTTGTTGCCTCCCACAGGGAGGCTGATCACCCCAGCTGCCTGCTTTTGCTTTAAATAGGACACAAGGTTCCTAAGTGGCCTCTGAGTAGAGGTGGCAGTGTCTGACGTGGCTGAGGAAGAGGAGGACCGGCTGTCAGAACTTCCAGGTACAGCCAGAAGTATGGCATAACCATTCGGCCCTGCCACTTTGATGCGACGAGTTACTTCATCCAACTTGGGCTGGTCCAAACGGAGACGCTGAGTGATCTTGAGCTGGGCTACTTTGCCTCCAGTTGAACCCTCCACAAGCAGACTGCTAGCAACTTGGAGGTCACCCTGCAATAGATGCATGTTGGAAGGGAAGTTGCTGTTCTTCAGTAGAAGCATGCCTTGCCAAGCCAAACAGAGTTTGGGAGAGGATGCTGCCACAGGAGCTGTCCCTCCATCCTGTTTCTGGGAAGGAGGTTTCTGCTTTGATGAAGAAGTGCTGGTACTGGGTGCATTGCCATCAGACCGTTCTTCTTTTTTCAGAGGGTTTTTTCCCTCTGTGGGAGCAGCTGTCCGGTGCTTTCTATCCCTTTCAGCTGATGCAGAGTTTTTACGGTCTCGCTTCTCACTCTGGCTCTTCTCCAAACTGCCCCGTCTATCTCTGATTGGAGAAGGCCTTTCCAAAAGAAGAAGACGGGATGATCGATCATTGTCACTGTTGTAGCGATCTCTGTTACTGCTCAGTTCTGGACTTCGGTCAGGAGAAGGAGTGCAGTGACGTTTTCGAGGCCGGTCACTCTCAGGCGATCTATCCAGATGCCGTCCTCCACTTTCCTCAGGCAGCCTTCGCTTCCTCGGCTGGTCCCTGCTACTGGGCAAATCCCGATCACCTCTGTCCCGGTCCAATGACCAGCCATCCCTCCTTCGATCCAAGCTATCCAGGGGCTCATAAGCAGTCACAGCACTAGCTGCAGCACGAGCACTGCGTTCTCGAACTGGTGGTGGGGGTGGCACCCAATCAGAATCAGTATAAAGGTCCCTATCACGATCTCTGTATAGTAAGGGTGGTGTCCTATCCCGAGCACTCCTCAAAGGGTCAGGTGCTCGATGTCCAAAAGTATCTGTGACTAGTTCATAATGAGTCAAGGGCAGAGGCTGAAGATACTGCTGCTGGTAACGGTGCTCTGTGTCTGCAAAGTCTACTCTAAGGCGACGATCTGGGCCACCAAGTGGGAATCCACGCATATGGGTCCAGGCAGCATGAGCTGCATCCAAGCTTTCATACTGTATATAGGCCCAACTATCACCTTTTCGGTAGTCTATGGTTCGTATGGTGCCAAATCGATCAAATTCTCGTGCCAGGGCAGCAAGAGGCACCCAAGGTCCCAGGCCACCCACCCAAAGTCGGGTAGTGGGTGTAGCTTTACCATAACCAATCTTGATTGGATTCCGAATTATAATTTTGCCAGACATTGCTAGTTTAGCCCTGTGAGACATGTCTAGATTCTCAAATTTAAGAAAACCATAGGTACTGGTCTGGCCCCGAGAAGGCCTCTTAATGTCCACTTCTGTGATGACTCCGAAACGATCAAAAGCCCTTCTTAGATCATTTTCTGTCACAGTGATGTCTAAGTTGCCCAGGAAAAGCGTCCGGTTGGCACGCTGATCGTCCTCGGGTGAGATCTCATCCACTTCTCGGAAAGGAGCGGCCCCCGCTCCAGCTCCCACCCTGGGCTCCAGACTGTACGCTGGGCGCACTCGGTCATAGAATGGGTAGTCTCGTTCTCTTTCCAGCTCTCGGGGCAATGGGGGTGGGGGTGGAGGGGGCAGGCGGCCAAGAGCCAACTGCTGCAACCGGTAGTCTCTGTATCCCAGCGCGGCCCCGCCAGGGGAAAGTGACCTCTGACCGCCGCCTCCTCCAGGGGCGTGCCGGTGGCTCCCCACGGAGCTTCCCACCACGCTGGACGACGGCGGGTAGGGATCTTTGTCTAACGGGGAGCGGCTGCGGCGCCGGCTCACGTACACGGCTTCTATCTTCAGAGGCCGGTCGTAGAGCACCAGGCGGCCGCGGGCATGCTTGGCCGCCCTCGCGTCCTCGGGCCTCCGGAAGTTCACAAAGGCCACCCGCTCATCCCCGCTGCCAGAACCCGAGAGGTGGCTGATCTTGACACTTACATCACCGAAGCGCTTGAACTCGTGGAACAGCCCGTCCTCCACCGCCTCGTCGCTCAGCTGCGACCCCAGCTCGCTGATCTTCAGCGTCTTGTACTCCACGCCGTCCCCGCCGCCGGGCGCGGAGGAGGCGGCCCCGGAGGAACGTGACTCCCCGCCTCCACCCCGGGAGCTGCTGCGCGACTCGCCCCCGCCGGAGGAATTTTTGGTGCTGGGGGAGCTGTAACTGTGCAAGCGGCTGCTGGAGCTGCCCCCGCCGGTGTCATACTCGCGGCTGCCGCCTCGGCTGCTGGACTTGTCCAGGTGGAGGCTCCGCCGCGACCCGCCGCCGTCCGCCTTCCCGCTGCTGCTCCCATTGCTGCCGCCAGAGCCCCCTAACTTCTTGCTCCGTTCTCCGCGAGAACTGGAGTCCTCGCCGCCGCGGGAGCGCTTGGGCTTGACCGGCGAGCGCTCCTTCCCTTTCATGGTGGAGGGTCGCCGGAGGTCGTCTCTGCGGAGCTGACTAACCCGCCACCCCGCGCTCGTTTCACACAGCGGGCTCGCACGCCGCCATCTTGGACTCCGCCGCGGCAAAGGCTCCCGCCCCGCAGACCTCATTGGTCCATTAACTCACTCGTCAGCCTTCTCATTGGAAAAACTATTTGTCCGTCTTTACATCTCCCCGCGCTCCGGGAAGGCGCCCGCCTCGACGCTGTTATTGGGTTCCCAACGCCCGAGTCGGAGTACCTCATTGGTTATATTCGTTGTCTATCTTAACGGTTCCTCGCGCCAGGCCGTGGCTCCACCCCTCGCACTTCATGGTCACCTGACCCAAAGCCTGGAGGCGTTGATTGGACCGAAAGTCTGCCCTGTAACGGTACTTCTAGCACGGCGAACGCAGCGAGCCCACCTTCTCTTCCCTCTCATTGGCTTGTGACCACGTCCTTTAAGCCACTACTCGGAAAGTCTGGACATCAGTCCTGGCGTTTTGGGGGGCTTTTTTTTGTTGGTTTTTTTTTTCCCCTGAGAACTTGGCTCTCCCCGAGCTTGCGAGAGACAAAAGAGCTCCCTCGCTCCTTCTCTCGCTCTCTTGTGACCCCAGTCTTCCAACTTCTCCGGCGGCTGGAGGAAGTTTAAATCTGATTGGCTGTTGGCGAGGGCCCCGATAGGGTAGAAGCGCTGTCCATCACTTACTTACTTAAAGGAGCCGGCCCGTGAACTGCGGCGTCTGAAGGTGAAAGCCCAGAACACGCGCTTGCTGTGCGACGTCACTGGGCTGTCGCGAGATGGTGACAGGGCGTCAGGCCCGCCTCCCCGCGCTTTCGGCGTTCTCTTGAACTCTGCTTAGGGTCCCACGGCGTACTCGGCTGTGCTTCTATCGGTCCTTCGAGTCTGGAACTTGCGGGCTCCGCTCGGTCCTGTCCGAGCGGGCCAATGGGCTCGGCGGCCCCTCCGGTTGCTGGCCCTCGATCCCCTTAGGCGGCGGTCCCGGGAAGTCCAGCCGACACCATCTTAGTCAGCAGCCTGAAAAAGCCCCACCCCCGTGCGCGAGCAAGCGCCTGCCCGGGTCTGTGCAGCTGGCTGGGGCGGTGAGTTCAGGGTTCACTGAGCCTCGGGTCACGCTGACGCCCTGGGCGGTACCGAGTCACTGCCCGCCCGCGGACGTAGGAAACGGCTCGGCGGAGACCTGGCCGCTCTCTGTGGCCGCCCGAGGGCTCGCGGTGACCTGTGCTCACAGCAGCCAGGCCTACCGGAGACCTGCAGGGCGGGCCACTGCAGACCTTCCCTGGCGTCTCTTTGAGGTTGTGAATCCTTATATGGTTTGCAATTACAAAAGAGACCTGGAACGTAAAGTAGCTGTGCTTAGCTTTAATATGTAATGCTTCTTGGGGGGGGGGGGGGGAGCAGCCATAATAAGCTAAATATGGACAGGTCACCCAGAGGAAGTTCTTTGCCAGGGTAGAATTTGGCCATTGATAAATTTAATAAGAGGCTGGGTTCTCAGTAGTTTACCCTGAGGCCGTGCCTGGCTGCTGGAGGAACCACAAGCTGAGATTACCCAACCCCGCCGCCCCCCAGAACAGACCATTTAAAGGAAATGCCTGGCGTTCCAACCGTTGTCTATAGGATCACCTGTCAGCGCACATTCACCAGGACACCCTAGACAGATGTCAGCCAATCAGAGGTCCTGAACCTCAGAAACCCCTCACCCCCACCGTAACTACTATAAAAACACAGTTCTAATTGAGCTCGAGGCTCCCTGGATATTCCAATACGTTGGACGTGCAGAGAGACCAAGTTTGCAAACTTGATTAAAATAAAGGCTCTTTGCTTTTACATATGGGACTCCGTCTCCTTTGTTGGCTTTTGTGGGGACCCGGCAGATTTGGGCATAACATTTGGGGGCCGTCTGGGGGGGACTACCACCCGTAGAGCCTTGTTTTAACAATTGTTTTGATTTTTGAGACAGTGTTTCCCTGTGTAGCCCTACCTGTCCTGCCTCGCAGATTTGGGCATAACACTTCTCACCGTCCGGAAGCATTACATTTTCTCTAATTTCTTATACCTCAACACTCGGATTAATTCGTATTAGAATCCAGTAACATGGCCACCCTGCTGCTTTCACCTCCTTTGAGCCTTTTAATCCACTTCTAAATTCAACTCCCTGACCCCATTTACCCCATTTATCACGTTGGTTTAGAGGATAGTCTGTTCCACTGGAAGTAGGCTTCCTGCAGTCTCCCCAAGAATGTACCTGGGAGAGATTGGGAAGATTTTGGTATTCACATCTTAGAAGACTCTGGAAGTAGAGGATGTGTTTTAAAAGTTTCAAGGTAACAATAATGCCCCCCCCCACACACACCAAATACAAACTGAAATCTAAGCTTTTAAACCTCTTGAAAATTAGATACAGCAAATTGGTTAGCCCTATTTCAACCATTTCGGTTTTTTGTTGTTGTTGGTTTTTTTTTTGGCATACCATCATGAAATTGGCGAATATTCGGACCAAAATCTCTCGATCACATCCGAAGGGATTTGAAAGAAGCCCAATATGTAAACTGTAAATCCCCAAATGTCATAATGCATAGACATACTTGTATTAAAAATAGCTGTTGTGGGGCATTGTGGAATAGCTGTAATCCCAGTTCATTAGCCTGAGCAATTAAGTAAGATTCTGCCTCAAAACCACTCACACACCAAAGAAGTCTAGAGACACAGCCCGGGACACTTGCGCACCATGTGTAAAGCTCCAGCTTCAAATGCCGCTACTGAAAAAAAAATGCTTTTAAAAGTCTTATTTTTGCCGTGCGTGGTGGTGTATGGCTTTAATCCGAACATTCTGGAGGTAGAGGCTGGTGATCTCTATAAATTTGAGGCCAACCTTATCTACAAAGCGAATTCCAGAACAGCTAGAGCTGTTACATAGAGAAACACTGTCTCGAAAAACAACAAAAATCCCAACATTTGAAAGGCAGGAGCAGGCAAATCTCTGTGAGTTCAAGGCCAGTCTGGTCTACGTAATGAGTTCCAGGCCAACTAGGACTACACAATGAGACCCTGTGTTAAATGTTAAACGAGTATATGCGTGTGCGTGTGTGTGTGTGTGTGCTAGTGTTCAGTGCCCAGAGAAGGCAAAAGAGGGTAACAGATCCCCGGATGCTGGAGTTACAGGATTGTGAGTCACCATCCTGGACCCTGGGGAACAAATTGCAGTCCTCTGTAAGAGCTGCAAGTACTTTAACCCCTGAGCCATCTCTCCAGTCCTGCAAAAACAATTTTTAAAGCCGGCCGGTGGTGGCACACGCCTTTAATCCCAGCACTCAGGAGGCAGAGGCAGGCGGATCTCTGTGAGTTCGAGGCCAGCCTGGTCTACAAGAGCTAGTTCCAGGACAGGAACCAAAAAGCTACGGAGAAACCCTGTCTCGAAAATTAAAAAAAAAAAAATTTAAAAGGCTGCTAATATAAAATACCATCAGTCAGAGAAAAAAATGTGTATAATAAGCTACCAATTGTGGCTTTTAAAATTGCAATGTGTAGCCGGGCGGTGGTGGCCCACGCCTTTAATCCCATCACTTGGGAGGCAGAGGCAGGCGGATCTTTGTGAGTTCGAGACCAGCCTGGTCTACAGAGCTAGTTCCAGGACAGGCTCCAAAACCACAGAGAAACCCTGTCTCGAAAAACCAAAAAAAAAAATAAAAATAAAAAATAAAAATAAAAAAAATAAAATTGCAATGTGTTGTATACCTATGCTTATATTTTTAATTGAAATTGTTACAGAGATTGCTCTCAGGGGCAGGGCTGAGGGTCTGGAATTATCAAGAGATTCTTTGATATTATAAATGAAATTTTTCTTTGTATAATTTTGTTTTAAAAATATACAGTAGTAGAATATGCTTTGTAGGCCATCCCTTGTTCTGAGTACACAGTCTTAACAACTCTAAAACATGTCAATGGTTTTTCTTTAAGTCTACAATCCTATTCCCATTCTTTCCTGCTCCATTATTTTGTTCCAGGAATACTTGATATATTTTCTGCCTCAGATGTAGAATCCACTATTCCTACAACAATTTCTGGTTCTCTTTAGTAGGAAGTTATATTACGCCTTTAATCCCAGCACTCGGGAGGCAGAGGTAGGCGGATCTCTGTGAGTTCGAGACCAGCCTGGTCTATAGAGCTAGTTCCAGGACAGGCTCCAAAGCCACAGAGAAACCCTATCTCGAAAAACCAAAAAAAAAAAAAAAAAAAAAAAAGATAAAAAAATTGGATACTAGGAAATAAAGTATTCATATACATAATCTATAAGAAATGAAGTAAAAGCTTTTCATAAGTCTGTTAATCTATCTCAAGATTATATGAATACTACAAAAAGGGAATTGAAGTTAGGCCTTAACCTGATTACTTAGTATAATGGCCAAACCAGAAAAACAGGAAAGTGACTTTTTTTAGCCTAAGTTGATTAACATAAATGATTCTTCAATCCAAAGGAAAGATAAGGACCAATCAGTGTAGGGGTTTGAGGGAGCACTAGAACTGAGAAAAAGAACTGAAGGGGATGACAAGGGGCAGGAGTGTGGCAGTCCCTAAGGCATGCCAGGCTTACTGGGTTGTTTTTGGTAGAACTTTCCCCACATCTGACAGTGATAAGAAGGCTCCCTAAGGGAGCCAGTAGCCTGTCTGGAGCCAAGTGGACTGGTAACTTTAAAACTAACAGTAAAGGCCATCACCAGCAAGAGTCAAGATGTAGCCTGTTACATATGTTTGCCCATGACAGAACAGAAGCACACACATGCTCCTTAAAAATATAATCTTTTTATTCTGCTTGTATTTGACTTTAGACTAACGTTCACTGAAATAGAAAGCAATCGTTTCAAAGCCATGCTGTGATTAAGTGATTTATATCGTTCTCATTTCCTTTGTGTTCTTTGAAGCATGAAGCTATGTAAGTGAGGTTTTAGTACCCTGCATTTACACACGTGCTTTGCAGAGGGCTGAGAAAGGGTAAAGGTAGCCCATGGTTTAAAGGGCAAGGACTCGGAGCTCTTCTTTGGGTGTTCACAGTGAAGTTGTTGAGCGGCAATCTAAGCTTTCGTCTTGTCTCCAAGTGATCAGTGGCCAGATCTGTGAGGGCAACTGCCCCGATGAGGAGCTTCTTTCAATGTTTATGACTAGAGTTAACCTCACAACAAATTCCCCTAGCACTGTAGCAGTATGTCTGTCCATCTCTTCTTTCAGTGCTCTGCCAAAACCCAAGAAATAGTGTTGAGGAAAAGCTGCCAAAGTCCATTATGCCTCAGTGTTGACCATTGGAACTATACTATTCAATGCCGTAAGAAAAAGTTCCCACTAGGTTTCTCTATAAAGTGTTTTTCCCCACCTCCTTTAAAATCAGTTTTAAACATAAAAGGAAAAAACAAAAGTTTATACACAATTTTAAAAATGCCAGTATAATTCCAATGTTCTTTCTATCTCTGTTCTTCCTAGGTTTTATTGTTTGTGTATCCTCAATGCATGCGCAATTATGATTGCAATATGAACTTATCTTAGAAGTTGAGAGCTTGTTAATTTCCTGGTATGTGCAAACAGAACTCAAGCTGAGGACTGAACATTTTTTCTTTCCTTATTAGATGAAAATTTTCTGTCTCATCTGCTAAAGTAAAATGAGTGGTCTCTTGACAGTGAAGTTTGTTTTATTTGACACATGGAGGATACATATTTTACCTACGAGCAGTCAATCATGTTGAGACCGAGTTTGCATTACATAATGATGAACTTACTTGTGGTTTGCGGGGAGTTTTAAA